CTTATATCATTGAAGACGCCATTGTTTTTATGGAAAAAGCTATGAAAGCCATCAAGCCCAAAGCAGTAAATTCCTGCTGGAGAAAACGGTTTCCAGATGTTGTACAGACTTCACAGGATTTACAAGAAAATCAATTAAAAAAAAAATGAAAGAGATTGTAGATACGACAAAAAAAAAAAAAAAAGGTTGGGAGTGAAGGGTTGCAAGATATGGATTTTAGAGAAATACAACAGCTAATAGACACCACACCAGAAGGATTAATTAAAAACAACTTGATGGAGACGAGTGCTTCCAGGCCACTGTCAGATGATGAGGAAGAACACATAAAAGAAGTGGTGCCAAAAACCAAATTGACAATAGACAATCTAGCAGAAGAGTTATGATTATTCAAGACTGCTTTTGACCTCAGTGTCCATATCGTAGAAGGGTCCATTTTGCAATATGGACTTTTACTGAAACTAAAGCAAACAGTGAAAGAGGACTGGTACCATATAGAAATATTTTTAGAAAAATGAAAAAGTAAAAATGTCAGATGGGAGTTACAATGTATTTCTGTAAAATTACACCAAGTGTGCCTGCCTCTCCTGGATCCCTTCCACCTCCTCTACCTCTTTTGCCTCTGCCAGGCAAGACAGCAAGACCAACCCTTCCTCCGACTCCTCCTCAGCCTACCCTATGTGCAGATGATTAGGATGAAGACCTTTGTGATGATCTACTCCCGCTTAACTCATAACAAATATAGATTTTCTTCCTTATAATTTTCTTCATAACATTTTCTTTTCCCTAGCATTTTTTATTGTAAGAATACTGTATATAATATATATAACATATAAAATATGTGTCAATATACTTCATGTTATCAGTGAGGTTTCTGGTCAACAGTAGGCTATTAGTAGTTAAGTTCTGGGTAGTAGTCAAAAGTTATATGTGAATTTCTGACTGCATGAAGAGTCAGCACCCCTAAACCCTACATTGTTTAAGGGTCAATATACTATACAAATTTTCAAGACTTCAATACACAATTTTAAAACAGCATAAAAGATCAGCTAGCAGAAGACAAGAAATAACTAATATCAGAGCAGAACTGAAGGAGATAGAGACACAAAAACCCTTCAAAAAAATTAATAAATCCAGGAGGGGGCTTTTTGAAAAGATCAACAAAATAGACCACTAGCCAGACTAATAAAAAAGAAAAGAAAGAAGAATCAAATAGATGCAATAGAAAATGATAAAGGGGATATCACCATCGATTCCACAGAAATACAAACTACCATCAGAGATTACTACAAACAACTCTATGCACATAAATTAGTAAATTGGGAAAAAACTGACAAAGTTCTGGACATTTATACCCTCCTAAGACTAAACCAGGGAGAAATTGAATCCCTGAATAGACCAATAACAAGGTCTGAAGTTGAGGCAGCAATTAATAGCCTACCAACCAGAAAAAGTCCAAGCCCAGATGGGTTCACAGCCGAATTCTACCAGACGTACAAAGAGGAACTGGTACCATTCTTTCTGAAACTATTCCAAACAATACAAAAAGAGGGAATCCTCCCTAACTCATTTTATGAGACCAACATCATCCTGATACCAAAACCTGGCAGAGACACAACTGAAAAAGAAAACTTCAGGCCAATATCCATAATGAACATCAAAGCAAAAATCTTCAATAAAATACTGGCAAACTGAATGCAACAGCACATCAAAAAGCTTATCCATCATGATCAAGTAGGCTTCATCCTGGAGATGCAAGGCTGATTCAACATATGCAAATCTATAAATGTAATCCATCCCATTAACAGAACCAAAGACAAAAACCACATGATCATCTCAATTGATGCAGAGAAGGCTTTGACAAAATTCTACAGCCCTTTAAGCTAAACAGGCTCAATAACTGGGTATCGATGGAACGTATCTCAAAATGATAAAAGCTATTTACAATAAACCCACAGCCAACATCATACTGAACAGGCAAAAACTGGAAGCATTCCCCTTGAAAACTGGCACTAGACAAGGATGCCCTCTCTCACTATTCCTATTCAATATAGTATTGGAAGTTCTAGCCAGAGAAATCAGGCAAGAAAAAGAAATAAAGGGCATTCAATTAGGAAAAGAAGAAGTCAAATTGTCTCTATTTGCAGACAACATGATTGCATATTTAGCCCGAGTCTTAGCCCAAAATCTCCTTAAGCCAAATAAGCAACTTCAGCAAAGTCTCAGGATACAAAATCAATGTGCAGAAATCACATGCATTCCTGTACACCAATAACAGACAAACAGAAAGCCAAAGCATGAGCAAACTCCCATTCACAATTGCTACGAAGAGAATAAAATACCTAGGAATACAACTAACAAAGCGTGTGAAGGACCTCTTCAAGGAGAACTACAAACCACTGCTCAAGGAAATAAGAGAGGACACAAACAGATGGAAAAACATTCCATGCTCATGGTTGGGAAGAATCAGTATCATGAAATGGCCATACTGCCCAAATTAAAGATTCAATGCTATCCCCATCAAGCTACCATTGACCTTCTTCACAGAACTGGAAAAAAAATACTTTAAACTTCATATGGAACCAAAAGAGAGCCTGCATATCCAAGACAATCCTAAACAAAAAGAACAAAGCTGGAGGTATCATGCTACAAGGCTACAGTAATCAAAACAGCATGGTACTGGTACCAAAACAGAGATGTAGACCAATGGAACAGAACAGAGGCCTCAGAAGTAACACCATACATCTACAACCATCTGATCTTTGACAAATCTGACAAAAACAAGCAATGGGGAAAAGATTCTCTGTTTAATAAATGGTGTTGGGAAAACTGGCTAGCCATGGGCAGAAAGCTGAAACTAGACCCCTTCCTCACACCTTACACTAAAATTAACTCCAGATGGATTAAAGAGTTAAACATAAGACCTGACACCATAAAAACCCTAGAAGAAAACCTAGGCAATATCATTTAGGACATAGGCATGGGCAAGGACTTCGTGATTAAAACACCAAAAGCAACAGTAACAAAAGCCAAAATAGACAAATGGGATCTAATTAAGAGTTTCTGCACAGCAAAAGAAACAATCATTAGAATGGGAAAAAATTTTTGCAATCTACCCATCTGACAAAGGGCTAATATCCAAAATCTACAAAGAATGAAGAATATCCTTATTTTGATTTTTAAACCAGTTAAAAATGTAAAAAGTAAAAATAAAATTCCTAGTTTGCCAGTCCTATTAAAACAGGTGGCAGGTTGGATTTGGCCTGGGGGCTGTAGTTTGCAGATCCCTGATATACGCGGGTAACTCCAGAAAGAAAAGAGAGGAGTACCATACATGTACTTATTCACATACACTCTCAGCAACTAGCAGTAAGCTCTAAGAGTGGACTTATTATTTACCTCTCTATCTCTTATTTTCAGTCATGATTAAAAAAAAAAAAAAAAAAAAACACCTTTGTGTTTTGTTTCTTACACCTAGTATGCTAAAACTGGTACTTTCTCTATAGTGTTTAGAAATTTTCAATTTCACTAAAAAATATTTAGGCCCAGACTTCTTAGTTTTATTTTCTTGAGTTTAAATCTTTATAACAAAAAACCCCACAATTCTTTCACATATGGATCATTTAACTATTATGCTTTATGACAAATTGATAAATAAATATTAACTGATTTAAAGCCCTAAAAGAGACCACCTAGAGACAGAAATATATATTTCCTCAAATATTTCCATGGTTTTTATTCATATTGCTTCTTTTCACCATCTAATTTTAATGATTTTTTAAATGAAAATAAAAGTTGAAAAATAAAAATCTGCCTAATTTCCAATGTTGTGGAATCTGATGACTCTGCAGAAAATTTTCAAGAGCAGAAGAACCATGATGATAATCGTGGAAGCTGAGTTAGGGGTTTGTGGGAGTTCTTTAAGGTATCTTTGAAATATTTCATACCAAAAAAGGTTTTAAAAATCCCTCTCTTTGGGAGGCCAAGGCGGGCAGATCACAATGTCAAGAGATGAAGACCATCCTGGTCAACATGGTGAAGCCCTATCTCTACTAAAATACAAAAATTAGCTGGGTTTGGTGGTGCATGCCTGTAGTCCCAGCTACTCGGGAGGCTGAGGCAGGAGAATTGCTTGAACCTGGGAGATGGAGGTTGCGGTGAGCCAAGACTGTGCCACTGAACTCCAGCCTGGTGCCTGGCAACAGAACAAGACTCTGTCAAAAAAAAAAAAAAAAAAGCCATCTCTGAGGCTATGCTGAAGAATGAAGGTCAACTGACTGTGATGCTCATTAAATGCCTTGGCAGTGGCAGTCACAAAGTCCTACTCAAGCAGCACTGTGAGGAAGGCTTACAGACAGGACTGGGCTGAGGGGAGGTAAATGAGGCTGTGCTGAGATGAAGAACAGTTAAAAGAGCTAGAGGCATGTGCTTGAACTTCTTGGGCTTCCATTTTAATAACTATTCATAGTTTTTATGTTTAAATTATGTTATTTTGTTATTTTAAAGTTACTCTTAGCTGTTTGCCGACCCATTTTGATAGCGGGTTTATCAGAGTTTTACAACAAAATACAATTAATAGGTGACAGCCTGCTGTGAGAACCAATATATTTCAAATACACTATCAATAACTCTGGCTTCAAAAACCAAAATTTTAAGGAAAGAGAGTGTCAGTTCATTCACATTTTATTCCTTTAGTATCACAGGCCATGAAGAATAGATTGTCACATTACACTTGTATCATATTTTAAATTTCAGACAACTATGGTAGATGATTTTTTCCCTTCTATCCCATTTTTTTCCAGGGTTGCCATAGTTCAATAGATATGATCCTTGGTTACTGAAAATGAAATGGGAGAATATACAAATACCATTAACACCAATTTAGTATTCTTACCCAGTCTTTCATAATTAATAATATATACTCCTGACATCAATAATGATCTTTTGCTCTGCATTACATAACTTGGTGTCAAAAAATAAACTGAAATGGAACAATAACCAACCTGTGCTTTCCTCATGTATACCAAAGGTTCTTTAAGATGTTCGGGAGGTGCAGCAGGATGACTAGGTAAAGGAAACCTAGGAGCAAAAAGGGGCAGCTAAATATCACACATTATTGTTTAGTAAGAAACTACTTACCTCTGTAGTCCATGTTATAAATGAAACAAAATATTCTTTCTGTTTTCCAAGTAACATTTCATTTTATATTCAAAATGTATTGTTTTTATTAAGAAAATTGATTTAGTCAACAAATACTTGCACCATTCTAGGTACTAAGTATAAGGCGATGATTGAGATAACATTCCCTGTTCTCATGGACCTAATGAAGAAAGACAATAATTACAAAAACATACAAATAAAGTAATATCAGATTATAATAAGTACCCTGAGCAAATGAAAGCAGGGTAATGAGATACAATACATTTGGAGGGCAGTGAAGGCCTCTTAGGGGATTTGATATTTAAACCAAGACATGAGTGTGAAGAAGGAGCCAAGCATGCAAAGATCTAGGGGAAGAATGTTCCAAACAGAGGGACAGCAAGTGCAAGAATTCTGAGGAGAGAGTGTTTGGAATGTTTAAGGATCAGAAAAAGCCGGAATCACTGACACATAATGACTGAAGTACAGAGTGGTATGAAATCAGATAGAAAAGGCAGTGGGAAGACAAAATGGGTCAATGTTTATTTGGAGATTCCAATCTATTTCACAATAATATACAATTCCTCTTCAAATTAGTCAACAGATTTGTACCGACAGCAAAGCAGTCATGTTCCAATAATCAAGAACCATAGACTGAATTCTCAAGAAATTCCTGGTCCAAAGTGGGACAAAAGCATGTAAAGGGTTAATAATATTTGAAACCACTTGCATCTGTCCTCAGCTGTCCATAAGAAACATTGCTGGAATAGAGAAAGACAACCTATCCCATCTAACCTATAAGATGGTTTCACAAATTGATTATTTCTGGCAAATTATTTTTCCACTAAAATCTACCTTTCACATACCTTTCCCATTCACAAATGATATTTCTTGTCTTATATGCAAGATAGTTTAGAAATTATCTCACATTGTCCAATATATCATTTGCTTCCATTTTTAATGATAATTATGTCTAAATTTAATAAAACTTAGAAATTTAGGATTGAAACTTGAGAGAATTTACTGATGATCTTAATAGTTATTTAACGATCAAAGAAATGTATCCAAACTACAGGTAACAAGAAACAACTCAAAAGTCATTCATATTAAAACCAAAATCAAGTTAGATACTTAGTTTTTCAGAAATATTTCATGAAAACCTACTCAGTGTAAAAGAGATACAGATACAGAAGTGAACAAAACTGGCTAAAATATCTGCCCTCATGGAGCTTACATTTAGTAATATGCAGAGATAAGTGTTGTCAGATAGGAAAAATGCACAGAAACTTGTGCAGCACACTTGACTCTATTTTTTCTTGTTCCCCAAGTCCCCCTATATACTTAGATGTTCTACCCACTGACAGTAAACTATTTTAGGTAACCATTATTCCTTGCCTACATCTGTCCAGCAGTTTCCTAAGTGCTTCCAGACTACTTTCAACCTAATCACCAATTTGCCTGGATTTAGCCAGGCAAGATGGTAGTAATTTTTAATTGTATTAACTTACTTGAAATGTAAAAATACTAATAAAAATAATAATACAAGTATACATAGCAATGCTGATTTTATTACTCACAAAGTAAATATAGCTAAACAAAACACTATTACGAAATAGGTGGGAAAACTCACACACTCAGTTCACTATAAACAGCATTCTGAAGTTTCTTCTCCCAACCTGTTTTTTTAAAAAATGATAAAATATATGAACATATTAGTTTCTTAAATAAACATACATCACAATTAAATTTATCTCAATAAAACTTTGGCATCATATTTATTTGTGAAAGAACTTTGTCAACTGCCAATCTCTATGTAAAGTATTACTAAGGATTATTTCCTATAAACTTACCATATTCCTTGGCTAACTTTGAGTAGCAAAATCATCAACATGATATTTAAAAATAATATCATTATTGCACCATTCTATCGAGTTGGGAGGAACATTTCCTTTTTCACTATCAAAGTGCCCAATGAATGCTGAAATTTTTGGATGTTGTACTACTAAAGTTGTAAGGAATGTGCCAATGGAACAGCAAAAAACAGGCGCCTGATGAAGATGCCTAGTTATAGTTAACTGGTCAGCAAAGTCCTGGATGATAGAAGCAGATTATTGTGAGTTACCAGTAGTCAGACCAGTTAGTTTAGCTGCTATCTGAGTCAATGACTTAAAATCTCAGTTCCCATATGCAGATGGTAGACTAGGGGCCCTCTCTCTCCTCTCGCTCTATGAAAAGTTAGAATTTTCTTTTTATTTTCTGTGAAAGCATAAAAGGAAAAAAAATCATGACTGAAAAGTAAAAAGAAAAATTACCTAACTAAGGAGATATTTTAGTACCTTCAGGATGCGTTTACCCTTCAGGATGTTACCAGTAAGGTAAACAGTATTTAAAACCGATTCATTCAAAGGAGTCATTCTCACAGAGTTCTTGAATTTTTGTCCCATTTTGTTAAAACGTCTAAAAGTTCAAATTCTCCCTAAATAGAAACCTACTTTGCCATAGTTTTCACAGTTTTAAATGAGTAATTGGAAGGCTGGGGATAAAATATTATTTATTTGGGCTTGCAGGGGTATCCAAGGGACAGGATACAGTCATGGGTTCTCAGTTTCTGTTTCTGATTGGCCCAGTAAAGCCCTTTCATCTCTCCTTTCTGCTTATCACTAAAGAAAGAAGCCAAAAACCATAGCTTCCGGCTGCTAAAAGCCTAAAACAAAACAAAACAGAACAATGGCAACAAAGTAAGAAGGTTGTACAAGCTTGAGGTCTTAAAGAATTAGGAATAAATAAAACATTTTCTTATTTTGCCCTAAGTTATTAGGAAAAAATTACAAACCTGATATTTTAAAGAATTCCTTAATATCTTCTTTCAATGATTCAAGTTTAATTTCAGGTCTCTGAAGACTGGCCTAATTAAAAAAAAAAAATAAAGAAATAAAGAAGAAAGGAAAAGACACCAAAAGTAAATCATTTGGGTTGATATTTGGAACAAATGAAATGTTTAAAAAGGAGTGTCCAAAAGTGTATATTATTTGAAAAATCCTCTTTGAAGACAGAGCTTAGAACTCTAGCTTATAAAAAAGAAGACTTTCTCACTAACTCTTAAAGGATCTGTGATGGTATACTAAAGTCTACTAAAAATACAAAATCTTGCAGATTATGAGTCCTTATCATCTGTATCTAGGGTCTCAAGTAATAAAAATACTCAGCTTTTATAAATTCATTGCCTTGATATTATATAAAACATATACAGCACCTGTACCTAATAACTAAAAAACCAGTTGTAAATGAATTTTTACATAGTGCCATGTAAATGGATCTTTGCAGAGTGTCTTCCTCTTTGGGTTGCTTCTCAGTGTAAATGCATTGTGTATATTTGTAGAAAATACATAAAACTACTAATTCATAAATGCACATTATTAAGTATCTTGTCTTCAAGTACATGTTTTCTATTCTACTGGTTTTTCACAATGCAATTTTGAGCAAAAATATTATTTTTCTCACTTATAATGGCTGTAATTACTCTCAAAGTGTTGATGTTTCATCACCTAGCTTTCTCAAATTCTAGCAGCATTACTTCTTCAGAAGAAATTTCTATAAGGATATTTCAAATAGAGTATTTCAAACCTAAGAAATCAAAAATTGGTCTTATCCTCCATTCACTATCTTGTTCCTTCTATTACATTTTTAAAATCTTCATCAATAAAATTACAATTTACCAGATCTTCCAAATTAGAAACTTCAGAGTAATTCCCAATTCCATGCTAACTCTTCCAGATTCAATCCCTTTCTGGAAAGACGGCATTGGTGGCAGTGAGATTTTTTAAAACGTCTTGATTCCCACATAAAAACAGACAAAGCAACTCGATAGCAAGGCCAAAATCTCTTGGAAAATATTTACAACAAAACTAGATGATAAGCTATCCCCCAGAAATACAAGCAGCTGAGGATAAAGCAACTGCCACAAGACCTGTACAGGAAGAAGCAGAAGAAAGCAATTGCCTATCTGATGTATATGAAAACAAAAGAACCCCAAAGTAGTCAAAAAATAAACACTTGAACACATGATGAGTCAACTTTAGAACAGAAGTTAAAATGGGGAAGGGTTTTGCCTAATCCAAATATAGCAGGTGATATCTAAAGAGACTGGGGCAATCTAGTAGCTATAAATTCTTAAAACTGACCAATCAAGCCTCCCTTTCCAAAGTCTGGAAATGTTGATAGACTAATAAAAAAAGGAGAATGATAGAAAATGAACTCATTATCTTAAAAACTGGTAGATTTTTAAAAAGGCATTTATGCTGCCTTTTTTATTGGCACTATCCCACAGGATATTCACACAGTAAATAAGAGAAACTGCCTCTTTGCAAAAGTATCCTAGCTAATAACTAAAACAGATATGATGTCATTAGAATATCACAACTGTGGAATCCCCAATGAATTACGAATCCTAGCACTGAGCAAAAACAGCTACTAACATTGCAAAAGAGACGATCAGACATTATGTGGTTTTCAATGAAATAATGCTCTACTGCCTATTGTCAGGACAAAAAGGTAACACCTGAGTCTGATGAAGCCTCTGGGTTCAGCTGTCAACTTCTAAGACATATAAAGGACAGAGGAATATGTTGAGCTGTACCATGAATCTGCAATAAGAAAAATCTCCAGGCTATGGGAAATTCTAAGGTCAAATAGCCTAGTTCTTCAGCTGATAAATTTTAAGGAAAAAGAAAGGAAGGAGAGAAAATCTTAGGTCAAAAAAAAGACAGGCTGGGTGCAGTGGCTCACGCCTGTAATCCCAGCACTTTGGGAGGCCGAGGCGGGTGGATCACGAGATCAAGAGATCGAGACCATCCTGGTCAACATGGTGAAACCCCGTCTCTACTAAAAATACAAAAAATTAGCTGGGCATGGTGGCGCGTGCCTGTAATCCCAGCTACTCAGGAGGCTGAGGCAGGAGAATTGCCTGAACCCAGGAGGCGGAGGTTGCAGTGAGCCGAGATCGCGCCATTGCACTCCAGCCTGGGTAAAAAGAGCGAAACTCTGTCTCAAAAAAAAAAAAAAAAAAGAAGAAGACAAAGACATTTTTAAAAATAGGCAGGACTAAGCTATAGTGTCTAGAGGTATATATTTGGCTAACAAAATTATCAAGAAATGCAGAAAATATGAAAACATTCTCAATGTTACTAATCATTAAAGAAATGCAAATCAAAACCTCAACGAGATACCATTTCACACCAGTCAGAATGGCTACAATTTAAAAGTCAAAAAATAACATGCTGGAGAGGCTGTGGAGAAAAGGGAACGTTTATACACTGCTGGTGGGAATGTATATTAGTTCAGCCATTGTAGAAAGCAGTTTGGAGATTTCTCAAAGAACTTTAAACAAAACTACCATTTGACCCAGAAATCCCAATTACTGGTATATAACCAAAGGAATATAAATCATTCTACCATAAAGATGCATGCATGCATATGTTCATTGCAGCACTATTCAAAATAGCAAAGAAATGGAATCAACCTAAATGCCTATCAACAGTAGATTGGATAAAGAAAATGTGGTACATATACACCATGGAATACTACACAGCCATAAAAACCAACAAGATCATGTCTAGCAACACGGATGGAGCTGAAGGCCATTATCCTGAGTGAACTAAAAGCAGGAATGGAAAAACAAAACCCACATGTTCCCAGTTATAAGTGGAAACTAAATATTGAATGCACATGGACACAAAGAATGAAACAATAGATACCACAGCCCACTTGTGGGTGGAGGTTAGAAGGAGGATGAGGAATGAAACTACCTGTTGGGTATTATGTGTATTATCTGGGTGACGAAATAATCTGTACACCAAACCCCCGTGACAAACAATTTACCTGTATAACAAACAAGTACCCCTGAAGCTAAAAGTTAAGAAATAATAATAAAATTTCTAACAGAACAGCTAAAAAAAAAAAAAGAAGAAGAAGAAAAGAAATGCAGAAAAGTGATTACCATAAACATCACGTTATCAGAAAGGGAGGGGTTTGTCATTGAGATGGGGCAAATGGAGACGTTTCCAGTGTGGCTGGCAAAGTTTCACTTATAGGGTGGTCATTACAAAGTGCTTCACTTATAACAGTACATTATAGATTTGTATCCATAATATAAATATAAATTTATATACTTACGGGATAAATGTTTCAAAAAAAAACAGGAAAAAAAATGTCCTCCCAATCTATACTTTCTCTCCATTTTAAAGCCCCACGTTTAGTCTAAGGCAAGCCTTCTTTCTCATTTGAATTACTGCAACAACCTCTAAATTGGGCATCTTGCCACCTTACTTAAATTGTGACCACTTCCACCTGGCATTCTCAAAACTTCCTTACTCTATTTTTCCTTCTTTCTTAGCATTTATCACCTTCTATTATACTGTACAATAAATTTATTTACTATGTTTATTAGTATATCGTCTATCTCATTACATTGGAAGTGGTAGGCTCCACTAGGGCAGACATTTCTGCCTTTTTTTTTACTCTGTATCCCAAGCACCTAGAATAGTTGTTTTCACACAGTAGGTGCTCAATAAACGTTTATTGAATGAATGAACCAATTTCTCCCTTTTCCAATCTATCTTCCAGTATTTCTTTCTAAAACGTTAAGTCTTAACAGGGCATACTTGGTCCTTCACAATGTAGACCCAATTTATCTCTACAAATTCATCTGCTGTTGCTCCACCAAGTTAACAACATCCTCTTCTCACACCTCCTCCTCACACATACCCTAGTCACCGTGAACTACATTCACTGATTTCCTACCTGTCAGTCCTTTAAGGGCTATTCATATTTCCTCAGATGGAAGTGCTCTCTCGCACTACCTTGGCAAACACCTGCTAGCTCCAAGACATCCTTCAAATATCACCTTCTTTCCCTAGGCCAGACAGCAAGGATAGAACATTATGTTCCTCTGTTTCAGCAGTTATCAGATTACAATGTAATTTTCAGCTCACCTATTTATCTTTCTGACTAGGCTATAAATTCAAAGGCAAAGAATGGGTCTTTTTTTTTTACACCCCAAGTATCACCTGGGCATTAATTATTGCTTAACAAAATTATATTGACCAAACCACATTCTATTTTTTACTCAATTTCCTCCCCCTACAAAACAAGGAATTTGAAAAAAATTATGTTTAACTGAAGAGACTGTTTCCCAATTTGTTACTCCTTGAAAAGATTTTTAAAAGCTGCACAAACCCTGCTAATTATTCAAAATGCACTAAATCAAAAGTAAATAAGCTGTCTTATACTAAGCCTGCATTCGAAAATGATTCAGAGGACAATTTAAAGAACTTTTTTAAAATTGTTATTTTTTCTAAACATTTTCAGTATCTTAAGGTTGCTAGACCTCCTAGATATACTTTGCACTTAAGCTAATTATAAAAATCTTCAGGTATTTGAAGATCAAAAGCAGGAGAGTGATAATATGATAAGGCACAGTGGTTCTCAAACATGATTTAGTAACAGAACCTATTTTGCAAATGAAATCCAAACACTATTAGGAATCCTACATAAAACACATTGAAATGATATTACCAAACAAAAGGAATGATGAGCCTTTCCTCATTTGCTAATGTTATGATTAACATTACAAAGGTACAGCTTTATTCTGATACAGCCTCATATCCCATTTCTGTATTTTGCTTTGGTGGCTCAGTATAGAGAAAAATCCTGATCAAAGAGATGTGTTCACATTTTTAATAGACTTCCTGGCAATCTCAGTACACTCCCAAATTAAAATGATGTAGGAAATTGAAAGAAGCATAGTTGGAAATTGTTATTTTGAGATAAATCCTAAAATTTATTACAAATACAAAAATCAGACAAAGAGCTTCCAACACTGCTAAAATTATGCATAGCATGCTCTTAC